CAGGCAAGCAGGGACTTGACAATCTGACTTCCGAGGGGCCCCAACTTACCTCCTGCCCACACCCCAAAGGAGGGTACATTTATTCCGCAATGGGGGGAAGGGTGTGCAGGCAGGAGAGGAGGGCGCCACGCTCCCATAGGAGTTACAAGTGGAGGGCCTGCGGGTCCACCCATCCCAGGCTCCAGCTCCCTCCCTGTGACCATTCTGACCAGCTCTAGGGCTCATAATTCATTCTAATTCCCTGTGAAGTCAAAGCCTTGACAGAGCTGGGACCAAAGCTCCCACCTGAGGACAGAATCCAAGGCTTTCCCCCAGGATGCTAATGAAGAATCTGTAATCTCTCATGGCAGGGAGCAGCCTCTGGGGAGACAGCGAGCACTCCCTCTCTGGAGAAGCCTGTGCGGCTCTAGCTGCCTGGCCTGGATCACTGTTTCAGTTCAGTGCTAGGCTCCGGAAGTCATCCTCCCAAGGAGAACATCAGCAGTAGGAACAAGGTTAACGGGTCCACAATAAGCAGGAAGGAGAAAGGGTGCCTGTCGATTTGCCAGATGACAAAATATCCCTACAAGGCCCGCCAAGGCATAGGCCAGTGGGGGTGGCAGTGGGGAGGGGTGGCAGCAAAGAGCACTTTGGGCCTTTTTTTGGAGGGGGGGTGTCTGTCAAATCTCCAGACCTTCAGATGACAGAGCAGACAAATCTCTGAGCCGATCTCAGTGGCCCGCCCAGCACAGCGAGGGCCGTTCCCACCAGCAGTCCATACAACCAGCAGCTCTCCGAAGTGTTCACCACAGGAGGATTTGAGCCCGAAGGCCAGAGCCTGGCAGCTTTAGTCATTTGAGAGGGTCAGTGGTCAAGAAGTTGAGCACAAGGCAAGCCCAGTCCTAACTCTGTGGCCCATCGGGATCGAAGAAATCTGAAATATCTGGGGTCATCAGGAATCAAAGACCAGGTCAGCACAGGGGATGGGTCTGCTCTTCAAATTCCTTAACCCCCGTGGGGTGCAGGCCAAGCTCCAGTTTGGAATGGGGTGCCCTGGAGACGGCGGTCTAACTCGTCTCGTCCTCCTGGGCACAATGGCGTGCCTGTTCCACGCTCACGGTGGCAGCACTCCCTTCTCTTCCTGGCAGGGTGGGTCTGCCTGAGGCTCTGGGCATCTCTCACGAGGCCTGGGACGCAGGCCCCCGTGCCGGCTCCTCCTGCAAGCAGCTCAGAAGCAGCAGAGCCAGCAGCCACAGGTGGTGTTGGGGGGAATGCCTCCCCTCAGAGCGACCTTTGCCAATGACAGAAAGACAGGAAGGAGAGCTCCGTGGCTTCGTTCCCTGGGGTGACAACAAATGAGTCTTCCCACAGGAATCTAGTATGTCTGTCTTTGTCATTGCTATTTTTAAAGATTTTATTTTTAAGTAATCTTCACACCCAACATGGGGCTCAAACTCACAACCCTGAGATCAAGAGTCCCGTGCTCTACCCATTGAGCCAACCAGGTGCCCCTGGAATGTGTCTTTCTAATGGGAAGGGGCAGAGATGAGGATAAAGGGAAGGCGTCATCCTATGGAACAATCTGGTCCCTAGAACACCCAGGTAACCGCTGGCCTGTGCTCAAGGCAGAGACATGGCCTCCTAGCCCCCGGCTGACTTCCCTCTGCTCCAAAACCACAGGGAAAAGAAGAGCTCACGTTCCGGGCCCCATACCATGGTCACCAACGTGGCCACCAACAACTCAGGGCACTCTGAGAATGGGGACTTCTGGAGGTGAGCAATGTACCAAGACGGTAAAAAAAATAACGAGAAAAAGAAAGAAAGAAGGGAAAAAAAGGATTTGTTTTCATAATTCTTGGCCCAGAAATGGGTCTCACTTTAACTCATCATGTGTGGTCCAGCTGGGAAAATGTTCCCCACACATGGCCTCAGGAGAGAGTGTCCTCAGTACTCTGATAACAGTGAGTGGCTTGAGACAGGACTCTGGGTCCCCAGTGACCGCTCTTACCACCACCCCTGCGGTGGCCTGTAGCTGCTGCCATGTGGGGAGACGTGGGCCTCCCCGCACCCCCAACACCCGGAGGCCCTGAACTCTCTCCTCCCCACGAGTAGCAGCATACTGGTGGGCAGCCTCTGGGCCGTGTTCCACGCCTACAAACTGCCACAGCACCTCAGGCTCTGGGCCTGTCCGGTTTGATCTCCCACTCGGGTGCTGGCAGCGATCCTGTCAGCCCCTCTCAACCCCCCAGCAGGTCAACGCTCCCTTCAGAGGTGAGCAGAGGCTCACAGACATCTGCCACCTTCAAAGTGGACATCTGCCCAGGAAGGGAGGTCTTTCCAGGAGGTGCCATAAGGAGGTACACCTAGGGAGGGAGTCCCAGGTCTCATTATACCCAGGCAGCGTGACCTCCCTGAGGAGGGGTGACCACCCTGGCCAATCAAGGCCTCACAGAAGGGACATGCCTAACAATGACCACGCATCACTATATATGCAAACCGGCAAGACAGGAAGGAGGAGAAAAAGAAGCCAAAGACGAGACCTGGGCTCTTCCCAGGTCTTCTTCCCAGATATAGCCTTCTTCCCAGGGTTCTTTCCCCCTGAAAGGCCAGTACAAAGGCCACACGTCCGAATTGCTTCGTTCAAGAAGTCACAACTCAAACCCTTATGTATGAAAGAAATCAGAACCACTCTTGCTCTGACCCTTGGAGAATCCAAGAGGCTCCCGCACAAGCAGCCTTGAAAGACTGCTCTTTCCCAGCCTGCGGCACAGCCGGCCCCGTCCTGGCAACACACCTCAGCTCCAAGGTCCCATCCCGACCACTCCACTTAAAGCAGCGGGTCACTCCCCATCCCGCCACCCATCGTGGCACCTGTTCCCACGTGGTGTCTTCCCACAGTGGACACTCCAGAAGGCAGGAACGCGGTCTGTCGTGTTCAGTACTTGGTGGGCACCTTCAGTGCAGCTCCAGTACATGAAGATTTCGGACTTTGGAGTTGGATGAGGATGGCTTTACATCCCAGGTCCACCACGTGCTAGCTGTGTGAGCTTGGGCAAGCTACTTGGGCTCTCTGAATCTGTCCCCTCCCCTGCAGGACGGGGACAATCCTGGCACACGGGCTGTGCGGGAGACGACACGAGGTAAGCAGAGCTGCGTGCTGACAAAGGCTGGGGACCGCCAGGTCACTGCCCGTTCGTTGTCAAGCCTACCAGCGCAACACGAGGCAGACTCCACCCGGGAGCTCCCGTGTGGGAGCCGGACGAGCTTCCTGCAAATGGCTGGGGGAAGGCGGCAGTAAAACCCACCACAAGCCAACGACGGGACAGCGAGGCGTCCACGTCAGCCTCCCTGCACAAGCAGCTGGTCTCCGACAGCACAGTTCAACACTGCCACTTACTGCACCTGGGAAGGTCGGTAACTTGTGGAAACTTGAGGCGAACACGGGCCCAAATCCTAGCTCTTCACCTCCACGTCCTACGGCGAGTCATTTAGCATCAGGAGCCCGCGGTCCCCTCATCTGTAAGGAAGAGGCAATCCTCCTCCCCGAGGCTTCTGCAGGGATGAGAGGTAACGTACGGACACTCCCAGCATGTGACCGATACCCAAGCTAAAGCCAAGCCACACGGCGATGCATTCAGGGCCGACAGAAATGTGGACGGGCCAGGGCCATTTGATCTTGCTTCCTTAGAGCTGGGCTTCTGTATTTCACTCGTCTGCTTCAGCGTCCTGGGGTTTTCTGCCCAAATGTCAGGCTGAGAAGTGTCATTTTTCCCCCCGAACCAGCTTCTAAAAGAAATTCCTCATGAAATGTGTTTTACCAAATCTGCTATGAGCTGGAAGGCCATTCCAACTGTCTGCAAAACAGAGTCCAGAAGCCCCACACCACGGGTGCTGCCACCAGCTCCCGGACAAAGCAGCTCCGATGCTTTGCTTCTTCCATTTCCACCTTCTTGCCTAGATCCTAGGTCCGGGTGGGCAAATGACAGACCCAGGGCCAAATCCCACCCACCTCAAGGCTCGAGAGGTGGTTTTTACATTTCTCGGGGCGGGTGGGGGGTGGGTTATGTTTTTAGAAGGTAATACATGTAAAATAACAGAACACTAAGAGTAAATGACAGAGACTTCTATGACCTATGAAGCCTAAACTGTTAGCTTGCTGTCTGGCCCTGCACAGAAACGTCTCTGGACCCCTCTCTGAAATGACCGAGTTTGTGCAGTGGTATAGTACTGTGTCTTTTACAGTTGTGCTCTATTTTCAGTGCAGAACTCACGTTACCATGAGATTCTACTGGTTCAGGAAAAAATGCTTAAGGGACTAACCTTCCCCAGAGCCCTTCCTTGTAAGGTGGGTGAATAATGGCCGCTCTTTTTGGTGGTATGGTGGGCGGCAGACCCAGATGGAAGCAGAAAAGAGAGGTGGGGATCTAAGCAGACCCAGCAAAAGCCTTTCCAAAACAGGGGCTAAAGGCCCAAAGACCTCAGGAGTCAGCGACACGGAGGCTAAAAGAGGGCAAGGGCCCGATGGAGGCAGGTACGACCGGTCGGGGTTATGCAGGGTGGTAACAACAGGGGGGCTTCTGGAGACAGACAGGCCTCACTGATTCCTGGCTCTGCCCCTTGCCTCAACCTTTTGAGCCTTCATTTCTTCATCTGAGCAATGGGGACTAAAATAGCTATGGGTTTGTGAGGATCTGAGAAAACACACAGAATGTGTGCGGCACTGGGTCTGATACACAGCGGGGTGCTGGCCCGGGGGTACCTGCTATTATCAGAAGCACGACATGGGGCTGCACAGGCAGGTCTGTGCATGGTAGCGCTCCACCACCGAGGCCCCTCATAACTGCCCCGGTCACCAGGCCGGTGCCCATCATCCTGCCGTCAGCGCTCAGTTTTAATTCGTTATTCGTTAGGTGAGCCAGGCAACAGATTCGAGGAAGGCTGCTTGGCCTGCACACACTCTCCTTTGTGATTTACTTATCAAGGTTGCGGGAGCCGAAGTGGGAAGGGAGGAAGTCACTCACAGGTCTCGATACTGGTCAAAGGCATTGTTGGCTTCCACCTCCAGCTTTCTCAGCCGAGCAGAAGGCATGGCCCCGTCTTCCAAAGGAGGGTCGTACTTGTTACTCCATGGTGACCTGGAGGGGAGGAAGGAGAAGGAAATAACACCAGTCATTCCAGGAGACATGGCTCGTGAGCCATGAGCCCCAGCGGTCCGACATTTCAGAGGAAAAGCCACTACCCATAGCAAAGATGTTTCCAGGCTCTGCAACAAACACAGCTTTCTTGAGGTTTGCCAAGGAAGGGCTCAGGGGCAGACAGGCCTGGGCACAGGCCTCGAGCGCCACCTCTCATCAGCTGTGTATTCCGGCAAGTTGTCTTGACTTCTCTGAGCCTGCCTTCCCGAGTGTGTTAAACAAGGCTACCATTTGCTACCCACAGGGCTGTCGTGAGGAGCAAAGGAGAAAACACACCAGGTGCCCAGACCAGAGCCGGGCATGTACTGTCAACAATGTGACAGCTTCTTACTCTTTTTCTAATATCCCTTTGTTTTCACCATTGTATTGATCAGCAGATGCCCCTCTTGCCTCCCTGACCTGCTGGCAGCTCTGGATAAACGTTTACTCCAAAGACCTTCCTACTGAGCTAAGGACTAAGAGAGCTGTTGGTCAGAGGCAGGCCGACTACACGTGAGAAAACCTGAGGGGTCCTATTCTCCATGAGAACGGGACAGCCTTCCCATCTGAGACCATGGGCAAATACAAAGCTTGCTAAGTTTGGGGCACCTGGGTGGCTCAGCCAGGTGGGTGTCTGACTCTTGCTTTCGGCTCAGGTCGTGATCTCAGGGTTGGGAGATCGAGCCCCGTGCCGGGTTCTGCGCTCAGTGGAGTGCCTGCTTGAGATTCTCTCCCCCCCCGCCCCTCCCCCCACTTGCGTACCTCTGCACGGACACACACTCTCTCTCAATAAATAAATGAAATCTTAAAAAAAAAAAGACTAAGTAATGAGAACCAGCCTCTGTTTTTCTAGCCCAAAGACTTGCTGCATTTAAAAAAAAATACACTTTGCCACATCAGGAAAGCATTTAATGACAGAGAGAACTGGAAAGCGGGGTTCTAGGGGAAGTATCTCCTCGTTAATTCCTGCAGGTGGAGTTCAGAGAAAGAATGAGAAGGAAAAGGTGAGAGGAATGGAGGCTGGTGGTACTGCTGTGGGCCGTGGACAAAGTCCTCCCCACTCCTGGGTGGTTTGAAACTCCTCGACATCATCGCCTTTCCCATTTCCGCCCCCTGACAAGCAAACTTTGCCTCACAGAAGGCTCAAAAGAACCTTTCAATTTGGAATTGATGTTATGGAAAAAGGGGATCACTGTCTTCAGAACCCCAGTTTTAATGAATTCCGTGCACAAACATCATTCTCCTAGGGAACGGGCGCCCCCCCCGCCCCCAGCACCTACATCAGCAACTCACAAGTATGGAACCAGAGTAAGCTCGGTGGCCGCTCCCCAGGACCGCCTCCACACAGAGGTCCCAGCTCTCTCAGCTGCCAGGCCACCAAGGGTGAGCAGGGCAAGGGTCACTGCCCCTGGTTCCCAAAACTCTAGGCAGCAGTGGCCCCGACTACTTCGAAGCACAAGGAGCTTTTGGAAACCCTTCCCTCCAAGCTGACCGTTCCACCCCACCATTCTCCTCACTTGGTACAGAGACTTTACAAGAATGGGGTACGGTGCTCCCTTCTGCCCCATGACCAGCAGCCAGCTCTGTGATCACCCTGGACTGGGCACACGGCATGGGAAAGAGCTGTCCAATAAGCCAGGACCCATCTGGCTTGGGAGGCAGGTGTGAAGCTGACACTGGGCACCCTCAAATCCTCGCCGAGGGGCCTCTCCCTTCCAGAGCACGGCTGATGTGTCTGTTCTTATTGTTAGAACCCGTCTTCCTCATTCCCCCAAAACTGTGCTGCCTCAGAGAACTTTACTCTAGGACAGAAATGTTCTGTATCGGCATTGTCCAAAATGGCAGCCACCAGCTTCAGAAGGCCACTGAGTGTTTGAGATGTGACTAGTGCAACCAAGGAGCTGTATTAATTTTAATTCATCTGAATTGATGCAGACAATTCTGGAACAGAGGTTCCAAGAGGACCAGTCTTTCCTGTCTTTTTCTCCACGGTTTGCTCAGCACCTAGAACAGAGCCTGGCATTCAACCACACGCTCATTTAAGAAAGCTGTTAAAAAGGTGACAAAATCCTTGCACCTCCCCCAGAAGCCCCCACAGCCTCCCGGCCCCCCACTCTCACACACGGATGTGGATTCCTGCAGCTGCCCCAGCCCCCCCCCACTTCCCTAGGCTGAAAGGGCACGCGGGGAAGGAGCCCACGCTGTCCTCCCCCTGCCCCAGCGCCGACCACAAGCTCCTGGGCAGTGAGCGCTGGTGATGGGCCAAAGCCTTACGGCACAGGGTGGGAAAGAAAGACCCCAGGGGATTCTGCTGGTGGTCCTCCAAACCAACAGAGAAGGAGCCACCTTCTGCTTTTTCTGAGGGAAACCTAAGCACCTAAAAACAACAACAAAGGCCTCCCAGCAGATCCCGAGACAAAGATTGAGTGGAAGGGTGCCGTCCCCACCACTAGGCTTGCCAGGGGCTAGTGGAAGAGACTCCGAGGCCTCCCTCCCTGACGTGCCCCCTTCAGGACTTCTCCGCATACCCCCAGGTCTGAGCTTCGTTCCCCCAGCTACACAGTCTTCACCTTCCTGTGGACCTAGAAGACCCTCTCCAACTGGCTTTCATTTAGAGGCGACCTGATTAGACACAAGAGCCCCTCTCTCTTGCAGACCGGGGGCCTGGAATTTTCACGAAGCCTGTAACTCCCATTTCTCCTGGCTCACAGACGGCAGCATCTGAAGCCGTTAGTCCTGGAGCCGGGGTAATTGTAGCTGGGGGAAAAAATCATAACATTACCCAGAATATTCTTAGTGGAAGGGGCACTCAGAACACATTTAAGAGCTTAAATGGAGGCCATTTGAAAAAAGACAGATGGACAGGAATGGTTAGATTTCAAAAGTCAGGCCTTTCATTTCCCTCAGAGAGCGCTTTTTGTTTGAGCTAACAGGTTTCAAACGGTGCTGCAGGCAGTGGTCATGCCATAAGGATCTTATTTAAGTGAACGATCAAACACAGTTAGAATGGAAATGTGTGGGGAGAATCAGAAGACCTTGAAGTTTTATACCGAGAAGGGGAAAAAGGAAAGAACAGTCCTGTGCCCTGACACCCCGGGCTCCTCTTTGGCTGAGGTCCCCCCAAGCCTCTTGGAAGCCGGCGGGACGACCCGAAGGGGCTGTAGGCACCAAGTCCTGAGCAGCCCGGCCCGGGCATGGACGCTGGCCATGGAAACAATTCCAGCCGTCCCCAGGCTGCCGGCGAACAGCTGCCGTACGCAGCGAACCGGAGTTTGCAGGTGGAAACAAGAAATACGATGACGACATTGAGCAAGACTCAGCTCAAGGATCGCCTCTTCCGGGAAGGTGCCCCTGAACCCCGTGCCCGGAGGGGCCAGCTGTCCCTTGGTGGCATGCTGCCTGGTCCGTCAGACCACTTAGGGCCACCACAGACCTCTCTACAGCGAGGACTAGACCTGGTGCTACACCCATGACCCGCACAGTGACTGGCCCTTCCAGATGGAATGCGATCTACCCCAGGGCTACTCAGCACCCGTGTGTCCACCTCATCCTCATCCTCATCCTGCCCTCGCTCCTGGAGCTCGGGGCTATCTGCAGCCTACTGGACATCTCCACTGCCATCTCCACGGGCCTCGCAGGCTTAAAATGCCACCAGCAGCTCCTCCCAGAGTCTTCCTCACCTCAACCCCCCGTGGCCCCCGCCTTCTGGCTGCTCAGGCCAGAAGCCTTGCAGTCGGCCCTCCACCGCCGTCCACGCGCACGGCCGCTGCTGGCTCTGCTCTCAGAACGGACCGCAAATCCGACGACTGCTCACCATCCCCACGCGGGTCCCTGGTCTATTCTTGACCTAACGTCCATTTGAAGCTGGCAAAGGGACACAACCATGAAACATCTGTCTGGTCTCTCTGAAAAGTCAGTATTAATGAAATCTTTGTAACTCACACCACGTTCCATGCCCCTCAGCCTCGACGTGTGTCAGTTCTCGTAACCCCCGGTGACTCCGTGCGGCGTCCTTCAAGGCCCGGCACGACGGGCCCTGCGGCGCCCTCTGACCTCCCGCTCCGGCCTTCCTGCCAAGCTGGATCAAGCCCGACCGCTCAGCGCCAGAAGGCTCTTCTCCCAGACCGCACATGGCCCAAGTCCCGTTTCACGTGTTCGCACTAACAGGAGTGCCTTCCCTGACTTTCCATCCCGCCTCTCCTGCCCCTCATCCTTTTTTATTTTCCTGACTCACTCTTCCCAGTCTCTGTCACTTCTGCATTTGCTGGCGACTTGGCTTCCTCACTGGGATTGCAGCTCCACGGAAGAGGGACTCAGACTAGTGCCCCGCGCACAGAGTACACACTGACAGAGATGTTACCGCGCATTCTGCCGGAAGAATGAACGCTCGTATTTCCAGACACGTGAGCAAACCAAAGACCAGAGACAACAAGTAATTGGTCAAAGGCCTCGTTGCTACAGGGAGGGGGCAGTGCTGGTCTGGAGCCGACGTCGGCTGCCTTCGCTGCTTCCATCCCTCAGACTCTGCCCACCCCCCGCCGATCCCCGGAGAACATTAAGCTGAAGCTTTAAGACTCAGCCCAGGTTCTATGGCCTCTAAATAAACCTAAAGCAGACTGCATTCCTCCACCATTCTCCAAGGCCTTGACTACAGCAATCCATCACAGAAATGCTGGACAGTTTAGGGATTCCCGATCTTTTTCAACAGGAAGAACTCCTAGACACCCTTAAAAACCTAGCTTGCACATCACCTCCTTCAGGAAATTTTTCTGGAGTTTCCCCAGCCTCTTCTATGCTCTTAACTTCCGAATAAGCTTGGCCCTGGCAGCATGAATCACAACACACGGTCATCAGCCGCGAGGTGCATGTCCTGGTCTAGCGCCGTGATAGCTCAGCGCAAGGACTGATGGCAGCCTCGTCATCTACAGCCCTCAGCACGGCGATGGGGAGAGAAAGCAGAGTCGTGTGTTTGTTGGACAAAGCCTCATCCAAATCCCTCGCCCACACAGGCCGTCCTTGTGCTCAAGATCCCCATACCGGGCACACCCTGTACCTGGCAACCTTAGCAGGACTTCATGCAACTTCCGTGCTGTAACAAGGGCCTTCTCCCGTTAGCCTGGAGGCTCTGCCAGGGGCGGGGCCCTTTGTTCCCTGCTGAGTCTCCAATGCTGACAGGAGGCCCTCCACAAACATCTACTGGTTGACTGGATGGAAGGACGGATGGGAGGACGGGGACAGGGAGGGAGAGCAGGAAGAAAGACAGACAGGACGAGGGCTGACGGGCCCCCAGGCCGCCAGAGTTCAGTGGTCCCGGGTGGCAGTGGCTGGCTCCAGCCGGGCACTCACCTGTACGAGTCCCCATCTCTGTTGTAATCGCACAAAAGGTAATCCTTTCCCACCACCTTGTCTCTGGCGATTTTCAGGGGCTGGTCAACAGAAGACAGGAGATCTTCGCACAGACTGGGGACCTGGTGGAAAGAAAGGAAAAGGCAGAACCGGGGTTAGAACAACACGTTCGACCCAGGTTGGCTAATGGCAACTGGAGCCACATCGTGGTCAGCACATTTAACATCTGGCCCTTGGTACTCTGCCAGAATCCTGGGCCCGTTCCTCTCTTTTCCACATGTGTCTGACACCAACTGTGTCCCTCCATAAAGAAACCTGTTCTTGAATTACAGCAGAGCGTGATTTCCAACACAGCCTCCCTTCCAAATCTGCGTGCAGCTTTAATTACCTGGTCACCAGGGTGGTCTGGTACATTTAAGTATGTATGTGCTTGGTATTGGCCTCTGGTGGGCAAAGTACAAGCTCAAGTCCTGAGAAGAAGGTAAACATTTGAAATACATAGGAATCCAAAGAACTCTGAGAATAACCCATCCGTGCTGGAGAACTCCCACAGGCGCCCATGCTGGGTGGAGTTTCCAATACTTTCCAGGCCCCGGGCCAAGCATTACCAGGTTGGCTCGCAGAGTCGACCCTACCTGCCGCAAAGGTAGCTTCACACCAGCTTGGCACAGCGCCGAGCTCCAGCTGGCTTATCTCGGGTGGACCCACGTGGAGCTGCATCACTGAGGAGGAGGGCGGCCCGGGGGCCTGGGCCAGGTGGGGCTGACTCCCAGGGCAAATCCTGCTGAACTGGACACATGGCCCCGCCAGTAACCAGGCTGCTGGCCTCCTCCTCCCAACTCAAACATCCATTTCCACCAAAATATTCCAGGAAGGGATGGCAGCACTTTCAGAAACAGATTCCTTTGGGCTTGAGTCACTTCCATGCTATATTTTCAATGTGCTGACTTATTCGTTTCATGGCCCTGGGTTTATGGAGGCCCCACCATATCGTTTACCAGGCCAGTGGCTGCCAACTGCACCAAAAGCCCTTCCAAATGGAAAAGTTAAATCATATGGCAAAGATACCCAGAAGCCGCTCAGCAGGGCGGGTAGACCGCTCCAAGCTCCTGTGTTCCTCCTGAAGACCCCGACCGCCTCCAGAAAGGTGGGGCAGGGGACTGCCACCTCCTGGACCACCTGGCCTCCGCGGGCTTCCCTGGGCCCCTCTGCTGAGCCCCAAGGCCCCAGCTGGCACAGCTGGAGGACAGAGACCTTGTCTCGAAAAGCTCTGGCCTCAGTGAAACAATCGGTTCCCTCTACACGGACCAGTGCGGCTCATCTGGCCCCACAAGAGATACGCGCACCAGTAACTCCGGTACACAACCTGGGACGCCCACCCGTGTCCCCTCCCCCCCCACACACAAACAGGGCTCTTTTTTTCTTTTGTTCTGAGATTTTATTTTTAAATAATCTTTACACCAAACATGGGGCTCGAACTTACAACCCTGGCATCAAGTCGCATGCATCACCGACTGAGCCAGCCAGGTGCCCCCAAACGGGGTGATTTTCTTTCTTTTTTTTTTTTTTAAAGATTTTATTTATTTATTTGAGAGAGAGAATGAGAGACAGAGAGCATGAGAGGGAGGAGAGTCAGAGGGAGAAGCAGACTCCCCGCCGAGCAGGGAGCCCGATGCGGGACTCGATCCCGGGACTCCAGGATCATGACCTGAGCTGAACACAGTCGCTCAACCAACTGAGCCATCCAGGCACCCAAAAAACGGGGTGATTTTCAAAGTTAGTTTTGGTGGTGAGAACATCAACCCCCTACCATTTCCAGGCGTCTGCCGTGTATGCTGTCCTATGCTGGGCCTTTACATACGGCATACTGTCTACCTGAGAGCTCACTCTCATTGTGTGAAGTAGGTCTGTATTACGCCCATTTTACAGACTGTAGACAAATCTCCCCCTCTGATGGTAACTCTGATTTAATAGACAGCGAAGAGGAAGGACAGTGAACACCATAGGCATAATGAGGTGGCAAATAACCTCCCCACTCAGCAACCAATGGCCACAAAACCTGGAAGAAAGTCCTGGCCAAGGAAGACTTTAACAGCTTCCACCCAAGGCAGCTGGGATTTGGAAGCAGTCTTGCTTGGCTGCTGGGGGCCCTGGTGAAACAGCCCTGAGCACCTCTGTGCCAGCCTGTCGGACAAGTCCTTTCCCGAAGCATCACCATTTGTTCTGCTGGGCTGCTGCCTTAGCTTCCCTGTTGGGCCCTGACTTCTGCCTCGAACCCCGTTCTAACCGGCCAGGGCCCTGGCACTATTGACCTGATTTCCGTATCTGTCCAGTAGGGGAAGTAAAAGCAACGCACTGTGATTTGGGGAATCCCATGAGACCATGCATTCGACATTCAGTCCAGCGCCCAGCACGGGGGGACGCGTGCACGCTAGTGACGGACACCGACATGCCCACCCTGCCTCCTCAGCACTCAGTATCATGTGCTGGCAGTCTTCGATGGCAACGTCAGCCCGGGTCCCACCTGAGTTCACCACACCGGTGGCTCCAGGCACTGGATAAAAACGGACCTTTCGGAATCCGGTTCTTCTGAACCCCAGTTCTGCCTGTGACCAGCTGTCTCCCCTTCCCCACCCGTCGTGCTGCTTTGCAGCTACATCCCCCAACCTAGGACAGCTCGCGAGATAATGGGATTTGGTATGAAACAGACTCCGCTGCGCCGCTGTCCAAAAGGCTGATCCACGATCAGAAGTACTTCAATAATTTCTTCCTGGCACTTATACTGGCTGAAAGGAGGTTTAAATTTATTTGCTGTCTATCCCCCCGTCCCTAGAATGTAGATTTCGCGAGGGTGGGGACTTCGATCGCGGTCCCGGCGGCATCCCCGGTGCCTAATGGCCGTAGCGCTGGACACACAGTGAGTGCTCGGTACGTGCATGGATGGAGGAATTTTACAACGTGGAGCCTCCCAAACACCAGTCGGCTTTGTTTTTAAGTTCATCCACTGGTGTGCAGTCAGGATCTTCACCAAAAGAGTTGGTCATCAAGAACGGAACTTTGACGGACACCAGTGACCAACTCCACGTGTGGTTCCAACCAGATATTCTCAGGTATGAATCGCGATGTGGTGGAGAAGCCCTAAGACAAAGAGAACTGGCGTTTTAATTGAAGTCCGGCGTGTTTATTACTATGTGACCCCGAGCAGCAGAGCAATGGTGGCGAGACTGGGAACTAAGACTGGGCTCTAGCCTCTGTGCTGGCCGTTCGCGTGTCAAACACAGTGAGTGAGCTCCGCTGGAGACCGGATGCTGCCGGTCTGTGATACGAACGTCACTGCTTTGTGAAAATACTTCAGGTAAAGAAAGATTACAGTCAAAATGACGTAAAATTCTTCATACAGTTCAACGTATTCACCCTTTAGTTGGAGAATGCTTTTTGGGGGCAGGGTATTAAGATGCCTTTAATTTTATGAAATGATAGGCCACTTGGTTTTTGTTTTAAAAGTTGGCAACCCAGTGACCTACTCTTCCTCTGTTTTTCTTTCTCCACACACTACCCCCGCCTTTAAAAAAAAAAAAGTTTCTGGCCTGTGAAATTAAAAAATGTGGCAGCCACTGGTCTAGAAAATGGGATCCAGCCCTCCCCGCCTGTCCAAGTAGATCAGGGTAACTTTCAAGGTCAGTGTAAAGAACCGGAAGAGACTCCACTCCTCCCACTTTGTAACTCATGTTCTTCAAAGCACAAAGCTAACAAGGGTACAAAGGGTGGATCTGTGGTACCACCAGCTGTCCTCAAGAGCCGCTCTCGCTGCCTGCCCAGCCCACCTTTCCTATTCTGGTCACGAAACTTCTCAATCCCATGAGGTCTGGGCAAAGCTGACCTCCACTCCACCACTGCCCAATCTGGTATCAGGAGAGCACCCGCACGAGCTTCTGAGCGGTGACATTATCTGAGCTCCCACATCCAGCCACCCCTGAAAGTCCATGGCCAGGTACTAACCAACCCCAGAAGAAGATACATCTAAACTGTCACCACAAAATTACAGCAGCGTGCAGAAAACCACAGAAAACTCCTGAAGGAGCAGGAGGAGGATGTGCCCTTCCGTGAAAAGCAACTGGGACGTGATACGGCCAGCCGGTTCTTCACCCACACAAGTACAATTTTCGCCTTTTGGGTAAACTTTCAAGTTGGACCACACCTTTGTATTCCCTTCCATCAGTCCTGTTTCTTTGACCAAAGATAAAGTGTTCTTTTATCTTCCCGTCATCATGGGGACTGAGAAGTGCAGATGACATGGTATGCCCACAGACTGGTACCAGAGCAGCTGCCCAAGGGCGCATTCGTCAAGATCTGGCGCGCTACCCACCAACCTGTCTCTCTTCCACGCCATCTCACCCCCCACTTCTGCCTGCAGCCTCCCAACACCACCCTGTCCTGCTCGCGGCTCTCTGCGAAGGCAAGTTAGCACATGTGTTCTTCTGCCTAAAAATATCCTCCCTTATAGGCTTGCTGGAGAAAATACAGGATTGGGCAGTGCATTTTTAATTTCAGATACACAATGAATCTCAAATACACAGGATACATGTTTTCATTTGCTAAACCTGGCAACCCATCCCCATTCTTCTCTCAAATCCTATGACCCTTCAGAACCCAGCCCAAACTCCAACTTCTTTACCAAGATGCCAAATTCTTTGGAATTCCTGTACTAACACTGATGTCAACTGAATCCCAAAAGCTTTGGGGATGGCTGTTCTAGTCCTGCCGTCAGCTATCCCTTTACTCCTTCCTCGCTCCTTAACACTCTCGGGAGTCTGAGTGCTGACTGTGAGCCGAGAGAGGTACAGTCCCGTGCCCCAGACCCAGCCCGGTGACACGCGTGGGGTGGTGGGGGCTCCAGCACGTCTGCCGACTGATCAAGGTCCTACTATAAACTCAGAATAAAGGCAGTTTATTTCTCATCGATGAGTTACCAGCACTCTCCTGACACTCAACCCCCAAGGCTACCCCCAACTCAGTTCTGTCACGTGCTTAGAAGAGTGGAAGAAATCACATTAAGTCTCAAGGATCATGAGTTTGCAGAGCAATTTAAATGAAAGGACAGGTCCAAACAAGCCAAGAGTTC